AACATCCGACACCAGGAATGCTGTTCCTTTCTCTGGGAGAAAGCAATGGTTTGCATCTCAGAGACATCATGAAGGTGTGAGGCAGACTCACTCCTGATTCTCTAGCTGTGCAGTTTTATTGCAGGCTCTCTTTCCTGGTTGCAGCAGCGTGTACAACAGACAAGCACAACTGCATGCAACGTGCATCTTAGGGTGTGTGTGATTATTATCGATACCGCAGCAGATGGGGTGGAGGTGCTTAACACTTTCCTCCCCAGCCCTGCCCTAACGAAGATCACTCCTTCAAAGCTGCTATTTGCACTGAGGCAAAAGCACTCCCACATTCACCAAGTAACAGCCTCAAATGAGAGGTTTTCTTCATTTTTAACAAAATAAATTTATATTAATTTTCCAATATTTACCCAATATTACCACAGTTTTGCCAATTATACAGATTCCAATTAACACCAAAATAATTCCAAATTTATACAAATTTCCCACGCTCCTTGATCAATTATCCCCCCCCCATTCTTAAATTTCTGAGGTTCATGTTTTTTTATTAACATCTAATGACATTTGAGTTGGTATATTAATCATTCAGATTAACAGCTGCATTTTTAGCAATTACTATTTGTGTTAAGAAGGAGAGATTTTCTTCAGGACAGCAATAGGGAAGGAAAAGTTTAAACTACCCCTTTCCCAACTGCTGCAGTTCTAATAATGACACACAGAGCGAGAGCAGCTGCTACTTGCCATTTTAAAAATAAGAATAAATGCAAAAATCCATTTAACACCACATCTACATATGCTTTGGCCCAGAATAAGTACGTGTGACATTTTTTTTTTCTGACAAACAAACTTACAGGGCAAATTTGAGAAAGGATGAGTGACTTCATCCCATTCAGTATCACATAGCTCTTGCAAGTTTGTGGAACTATTCAGCATCCCAGCCAAGGCGCATGACATGTTACCATGCGACAGCTACAATCAGTGATGTCATGGCTTGGCTGGGTCCTATAACTGAGACCCCCACAAAAAAAATAAATCTACGCTAGGTATTTTGAAATGTGTGCTAACTTAATGAATGTAATGTCATTTGGCTATATTTTTTTTCCAGTGTGTAGTTTATTTGGCTTCTGATAATCATGGGAAGGGAAAACTGCTCTGGACCGCACTGTAGTATACGTCTCTAACCATACGCAACTCCACCTGGAATCACAGAAGCATAGAGTTGGAAGGGACCTTCAAGGGCCATTTAGTCCAACTCCCTGCAATGCAGGAATAACCTCTACTTTCCAAGACTCCGCCAAGGATTCAAACAGGCACCTGCTTTTCTGAAAGGCTGGGACGCAGTCTGGAACGCAACTCACCATATAGCAAAGGAAAGCACCTTACGAGAAATTTGGGTGCTAGGTCTGCACTCGTCAAATCAGCTGCAGAATCCTGTAAGCGGATGCAACAGCTGATCTGCAATGTACAAGGGCAACGGCGGAGATGTACCCAGTCATTTCACCCACTGCAAGATTAATATTACACACGTGTAAAAAGTTATCCCACATATCATTCTAAGCTTAGATATGTTTTACTGTCTCCCAGGATGTCCCCTGCAGATCTGCTGCTGGCCAGTAATCCAAGTCTAATATGGCAGCTTCTGTTTCCCTACATCTTATGACTTGGCTTTAGGATGCACTGCCCAGACTATGGTTCCCCCAGCCCTGGAGATACCAAGAACCAAGCTTCTTTTTCCCTTGCCGTAAAATCTCAAGACTGTAAGAAAGCCAAATTCTGAGGCAGAGGCGTCAGCCCCACTCATTTCTAAAAATACCAACAAACAAAACACAAACCAACCCCAGATTCTCTATTCCGAAGCTATATTCAATTCATTTCAGCTACAGAGCTGTCACAGTTAAGTCAGGACTAGTTTCAGTTTGGTTTGAGACCGGGAGAGTTTTGTATGGCCGCCCAGTGCTAAAGAAAAAGAAAAAAAGTTATCCTGCCTTGTGCGCAGTTCAAGGCAATTTCTTTAAGGTGCTCATCCAGGTGGATGTCACAGTCCTCCTTTCCGTAATAACCCTTTAAGAAGACCAGTGGCAATCTGCTGAAGAAGTGTTGGCTGCACATGGTAAAGACAGCCTCAGGGCAGCTTTGACCTACACAACTAATTTCACCGCAACGTCCAGGCACTTTAGAAATGAAAATACACCATACTTGTCATCTTCTGGCCTCAGACCACCTCGCGCTGTTTTTTCCACCCTGTACTTCGCAGAAACTCATTTCTGGGGTGAAGCATTTATAAAGGTGCTGTGGTTTTCTCTCTCTCTCTCTTTCGTTTCTTTGCTCCAGATTTAGGAACATATGGGGCACTTAAATATCAGAAATGGCAGAGGCCTGTTCAAGGGCTTCCAAAACCAATGAGATCAGTTCTGCCTACGCACAAGCACCTTAACACATCCAGCTTACAAGCGCACCTGTTTAGTTTTGTATTGTCCTGTCTATAAGCGCACACCTAATCCAGTTTTAAACCAATTTAACTGTGGCGGACACCTGGCAATACTAGAGTTGCAAGGGTGCTAAGAACCTACAGGAACTACAACAAACAGGTTTCACTGAGGGGTGGCGGGGAGAAAAAAGGAAGCCATTTCTTATTTGCGGTCTACACATTTCTGTTGTTCAGGTTCACGTCTCCTCCCACCAAAGGCAACTGCCCTTCCTCACCCCCTCACATCACTGTATATGGGCAGGGGTCAGGAAACTCAAGCCCCCAGGGGGCAAATGTTATTTTTGAATTATTATGAGCCTGTATTTACCAGCATCAGTTGTTTGTGGAATGGTTTTGCTTTCGCTTTGTGCTCATATGCTGTTGCGATTTGGGATATACAGTTAAAACTGGTGGAAATGTTGTTTGCTTATTCTTGCAATCTGCTTCGAGCTCAACGTTGTTGGGAAAGCAACATACAAATATTAAATCGAAAGGTTTTTATAAAAAGTGGCCTTCCTATGTTCACTTTCCAGCCCTCAGAATGCACACACACACACCCCAGTCATGTACCACACTGATGTCCTGCTTCCCAACCTCCTCAAATGCTTTTGCCTAGCTGGGATGTGCCTCTGAGCAATGATAACGCCTCTTGTCTGAAGAACGCAGAGGGCGTGGAAAAGTCTTGCTTTTGCTTTTGGGTATGTAGCCTGCTGTGCAAAAGTCAAGAGGTGCATCCATTGCTTTGCCCACCAATTGCATGCAGCCCCCTAGAGAGAAAAGCCCCCCACCTCATCAAAGGATATCCCCTTCTGACTTGCTGTCCTGCGTAGACAAAGAGGGTGAATCTACATTTGTGATCAAGATGAGCTTAGCAGAAAAGCTAGCCAAGACATTTTCTTTACCTAGTCCAGACATCAGTCTGCCTTGGGAAAGTGGGTTGATATTTACTTCTAAGGGTGTTTAACCCTGCAGAAAGCCTACCTCAACCATTTTTCTCCTGTTTTCTAGTTAATGGAGGTGCTACCTTTGTCTGGAAGCTACGTGCTTTACAGCTCAAAGAAGAAATCTGCATTTATTAACGTCTCTGAGAAGCTGGCGTTGTGTTTTGTCCAGGTGAGACCTTTCCAAAGCCAAGTTTTCTAAGTGAGGCTTTCAGCATTATCGCCAAGCAGATTGTCTTCCAGTTGTGAACTATGGAGCAGGCCGATACCTGTCGCAGATGGGAGTAGGGGAGAGGTACCCAGCCTTTCCTAGCCCCTTACCCATGTAGCACCAGCGCTTTTTTCCAGGGGGTACTCAATGGTATGCAGTACCTCTTTTCCTGTTGTTAAAAAGTGTGGCACTTACTCTAACAACATCATGGTGAGTTTTCTAGAGAGAGAGAAAGCATTATCACAGTTGCCAAATGAGGGCTCAGAAACCTGCCACCTTGATGCGCACCATGGCCTAAGCTAGTAGCCATCCCTCGCAAAAATCAGATTGGCAAAGGGCCCTCTACTGCCCATGGAACGAAATCCTATTTAGAACAGGTTCCACAGAAGCCTGAAAAGAAATGGGTTCTCCAAAGCATGGGGCAGACGTTTGATCCCCACCCCACCCTTGGCTACTACAGAAGTCTTAAGAATTATCGGGACTTTCCACAAGTCTCTCTCTCTCTCTCTCTCTGGAAAAGGAGAGGATGGTTGTTAGGACAGTGGTGGAAGACCATACATGACTTAATGTATAAAAACAACAAAACATGCTGTACCTGCAACGTTCTCCAGCTTGGGGCAAATTCCTTTAGGCGTGAGAAGACGGTCTTCTTCGTCGGGCGTGACTTGGATCCCGATTTCCACCGGCTCTGACACTTTCCTGAGCTCGGAGCGTGATGATGGGGGAGGGCTGCTCTTATCCAGGTTCTTCTCGTAGCAGGAACCACCAATGCCATTGCACTGCTTCCTCTTGTGCTCTATAAAAACCAAGATGTCTCCCAGGGGGAAGTTCATCTGACACTGTCCACAGGTTAATAGGTCGGGGTCTGCTCCACCCGTCGCAAGGCCGAGCCCAACCGGATCTCCTATCGCTAGGGTCTCATCCTCGTGGGCAATGGCGGTTTCCACATGGTCAGCCTCTGCTTTAAGTGGGTAAGCAAAAAAGAAAAAGAAAAGAGAAAGTGAGGGTCAGCGGAAAAGGGAGAAAAAAGAACTGAGGGCAATTTTGTTTATACGTTCTTATAGCCTGACTTAGAACAGGGTTGTCTTAAAACCCAGAGGTTACCTTTTTAATAATTAATAATAATAATAATAATAATAATAATAATAATATATTTATACCCCACCCATCTGGGTTTCCCCAGCCACTCTGGGCAGCTCCCAATAGAATATTAAAAATACAATACAGCATTAAACATTAAAAACTTCCAACAGGGTTGCTTTCAGATGTCTTTTAAAAGCATCATAGTTGCTTATTTCCTTGACATCTGATGGGACGGCGTTCCACAGGGCAGGCGCCACTACTGAAAAGGCCCTCTCCCTGGTTCCCTGTAACCTCACTTCTTCCAGTGAGGGAACCACCAAAAGGCCCTCAGCGCTGGATCTCAGAGTCCGGGCTGAACGATGGGGGAAGAGACACTCCTTCAAGTATACAGGACCGAGGCCATTTATATATATTTATATTCCCCACCCTGCTTGTCTCTCCTCAAATGATTTAAATATGTTTTGCAACCGAGTCTGTCTGCAGAGCAAAATAACAGGCAGGTCTGATGTGGCTTTCCTGAATGTATCTTCAAAGAATACCCATCAGCATTGTGCTAAGAACAATAACAGCCTGTTACGATTGCCTTCGGAGCCATTAACTGATTTGATCCAATGGATAGTGTCAACTGTTTCTATGGACTAATTAAGCAGCCCTATCCAAGTCAGCCTCAGTGTCTTCTTCTGCAAAATGGAAACAATAACTGACCTACCTGATAGGGTTGTTGCTCTCTCTCTCTCTCTCTCTCTCTCACACACACACACACACTTGAAAAAAATGTATTAACAATAAAGGTAACATTTTGCAAGAATTGCTTCAAGGGCTTTTTTCTTAAATAGGCCTTTGTGAATAAGCCTGAATGCCGTCCTATTACTTTATGCTATACAGTTTAGGATATCTTCTTGTTCCTTCCACCCCAACCCAGACTTTGTAGGATCCTCTGCATGCAATGGGTCTTTTGGAAGAGCTGAATATACAGGATTGGTCTTACAAATACTGTATAGTCACAGGACTCAGAAGAAACGCCTTTTGGGTTCCAGGGGCACATTTGGAAACCTAACAAACTGCTGTGGGCTCCACAAAATACCTATTTTGCAAAAGAAAAACTGGCAGTGCTCGGAACACCCTAAAAATAAACCTCCTCCTATAACAAAAAAAACACAGGCAATAAAAAAGCAATCACACACGCCAAAAAAATTAAAGGAATCTCCCCCCACCCCAAAAAAAGCAACAATAAACAAAGCCCCAAATAAATTTAAAAAATAAAAAATTTTCAGAAAGCAGCAGGGGAGCGAAAAGAGGAAGCTCAACGCTGCGTGCAGGGAATATAAAGCTAATAGGCTGTCAATCAGGAATAGCAACATTAAAATCTCCCCAACAACATAGAGGAGCCCAATCGCAAACGTGGCCATCTAATCTTACCCGCCCAGCAACAGAGGGATGACTTGCTAGACCCCACCGCAACATGTGCTCTCCATGAAGGAGAACACGCTTTGCAGAAAGAAGCAGGGGAGCCTTGTTGGCCAGCAACGAAGGACACCAAAATGCCCATGGGCACCATGTTGAGGACCATAGAGTTAGGCTGGAAAACTACTAGTGTTCAAAGCAAGCCAGACCACTGGGTCCACCTGGCGCAATATTGTCTACATGCACCAGAAGAGGCTCTCGAGGCTTTCAGATGGTTGTCTCTCCCAACGCTATGAGAAGATGCCAGGGATTGACCCCAAATTTGCTCTGCTTGCAGGGCAAATGTTCTGCGGCTGAGCTGCAGAGCTTCCACCTGAGGCGGCCTCCCTCTCTCCTAAAAAACACCACAGGGGTTGGGGCATCTTGCGCTGAGGGAAGAAGGGTAAAGAGAAAACAGAAGAATTGCTTGAATGAGTTGCCAACTCTTCACCTTCCAGCGACTCAGCTGAGGTGGCTTCTCCTTGCCCCAACCATCACCACAAGGCTACTCTGGGACCATCTTTCCCTGAGGGGAGGAGAATTCTGCTTTTCAAAGAGTTCCCACCACACACACACATAGCCTTCTCGCTTGGCTCCGCAGTTTTAATACATGGTTTTACTTAATCTCTATTCTTCCAATATTTCTACGTAAACCACTTCACGAGGCGTGCCTGAAAAGTGGCATAGAAATAAAATAAATATCATGGGAGGAAAGCTTTTGGTGTTAAAGCACGTAACAGTTCAACAAGATAAAAAACACTTCTAAAGCACGCGGAAGGATAGGTAGAGAATGTGGATGTCAAAATGGTCACCACACGATGGTTCCACTCCACCCTCCCTGTCAGAATGTTTATTTCAGAAACAAGGGACATGGCAATAATGTATAGATCAACATATTACGTTCAGGAGAAACTGTGATCTGTGAGGACAAACCTGAGCACTCTTTCCTTCTTTTTGGAACGAGAACTTTGGTGATGACACAAGAACACATCCATTGCTTTCTTTAAAGATTATATTGTAGTAATATTTTTTTTTAAAAAAAAAGATTTTCGTGAGGAAAAATTTACTGTGTGTGCTCATCTCAACGTTACTGTACAAGACTCATTTCGTTTGCAGCCTAAAGAGAACGGCAAAGCTATCAGACAAACAGAAAACCTTACATAAAAAAAGTTTGGGCCTTGGTGTGCTCAATTTCCAGAATGGCCAAGAAAGATGAAGCCTCAAGAATGGCTCCCTTTCTCAATGGTGAAGAGGCAATCCCAGGGACAGAGTCTTTGCATCACGGTGGCCAGGAAAATGTCGGAAACATTGCCTGAGGCAAGACTCCCCTACAAGGGCAAAACCAACTCAGGAAACAAGTCCCTGTAGCTTGCCGGTATGGGCAGCCCACCAGCACGCAGAAGGGGGCCTTCCTGGGCTGGCTTTGAGCACGAAGAGGCTTTCAACACACAAACCCCGCCACAACAACACAAGCCTGGCTGAACCACTGGGGCTACCACCCGAACGCGCAGCAAAATCGCTTGTTGTTGACGGCAGCTGAGCCAAAGCGGCAGTCGGCCTTATGAGAGTAAGAAGCAACATGTCTTGCACCCAAGCCAAGCCAAGGACGTGCTTCCTATTCTCCCTTCCCCATGTGTTCAACCTGGAGCAAGTGGGACCATACTCTATCAGGCCACAACGCCCTTCCTCCTCTGCCCACGCTTGGCCCAGGGTGATGTGGACCTTCTGTTGGTAGAGGGAGACCAGAAATGCTTTTAATGTCCTGGTTGACAGAGAACTAAGGAGCCAGAACTGAGGGCCAATCCTAGGATTAAATAGGCAATGGAGACTTTGAGTGTGTTTCCTCAGGGGTTAATTTTGCAGAGCTGTCAAGCTGTGTGGCTTCATGCAGGACTACAAAACCTAGCAGCCTGGCACATATTCTCACAGCAGCGCCCATGAGAAAATGCCAGGAGTACCTCTCCACAATTTTATCCTTGCTCACTGCAGACGGTGCATTCAAACACCGAGCTCAGCTGAGCAACACCTTCAGCACTCAGCTTGCCCACCCCTAAAGGCCAATGCTGTGCACACATCGCTGTATAATATGCTTATTATTTTATTTTTTAAAATGCCTTAGGTTACATGGTTGTTCCCATGTACAAACAGGAGGGCCTGAGGTTCTTCGTGAATTACTGGGTTCTTGGAGGTCAGTCTTTCCACCACAGGCATTCAGATTCCAGATTATAGCAGATGCCAGAATGAATTTGGCTTAATTTCCTATGGAAAATATCCAGCACTATGAATACCTTCCTATTGCTGCTTTTCAAGTACATCTTTTTCAGGTATTGAAGCACTAAAAAAGTCGTACGTCTGCTCTAACCAAACTTTCTCCCATCGGATAGCAATTCTACCACACGCCATCCTCTCTTCTTCCATCTTCTCTCCCCAAATACTTGCTGGTTTTATGGAATTTTAATATCAGGTCCTGGCAACCTCAAGTCTCCATTTTATTTATGTTACGTCGCTGGATTTGCATGCAACCCTGATGGCTGCAGAATGCGAACTTGAAAGGGCAGCTGCACTGAGCAGCAACTTTTAAAGCAGCCGGAAGGGAAATTAATAATAATAGTAATAATAAGAATAATGCACAGAAAAATATTGTAATTCAAAAACATACAAACATGCACTTCAGTCCAAATGAATTTGGTCAACTTACAGGTGAAGCGTATTCATGTATGTTTGGAAGTAAGTTCAATTTCAGTGAAACCGGCTGCTAAGCAAAGCCTATTAAATATCACAAAAATTTCTTCAAGATGCTGTAAACTGCGAGGCATTTGAGGGAGAGCAATTGATTTCCAGATTCACATTCATACCATACTTTGCTTTGCCTAAAGATTCCGTAGATCCACATTTAGGAAAGTTGTCTGGAGGAAGCACAACCTTTTTCTAGACCATCAGATCATATAAAAAGAAAATGCTCCTTTACATACTGAAATGGTGCTGGTTGACATCTCTCCATGAATTTGAATAATCAGGAGTTTGGGATGAACTAAGTTTGCATGAAAAACTAACGCATTCAAAGCTGCTAATTCACAGGCTGCCGCCCAACGAACTTTTTATTTTTAGTTATATATATATATATATATATTTCCATTGCAGCCTAATTGAAAAACCACACGAAACATGGTCTTCAATCAGGCACAATTCCCATTGGCTGGCGGGGTTTTTGCTTTGAACAAAAATTTTATCATTTGGCCCGATCAATACGCAGAGAACTAACAGCATGTAAATAAAAGAGATGAGCCACTGAAGTTTTATCTGGAGATGGGAATAGTAAAGCTCTGCAGGGGGGGAAACGAACGCATGGAAATACTGGCATTGGTGATTTGCTTCCGAATTTCCTGGAGATCTAAAAGCAGCAGGACAATGCAAAACATTTTGTCGTAATTCTGAACTGCAATCCCTGAACTGAATGGGAACTTTGCCCAAATATTTCCTGATTATTATTTTTTTCTTAAAGCTGCTGTATCTTTTTTATATATTTAAAATAATAAGAGCAGCAGTAGTAGTAATAATAATGAGAGAAGACTGCTTTATCTAACCCGGAGGCTAATTTCACAGGTTCAGCCAGAGAAATGGTTATTTGGAGGTCGAAACAAATCTTAACTTCCCTTTCTGAAAAAGATTGCTAATTGGTACATGAATCATACGTATCATAAACTGCATCACTGCCCACTAAGCACATGCATTATGTAAGAAAGAGAAGCGTATCAGAACCTGGTGCTTATTATTTTCGCGGCACTTCAAATTAGGCCTACGCTGCCACCCCTTACAGTCGACGGAGGTGTATGAACAAGAAGCAGCCTAAGGAAGAGAAGATTCACGGGCGAAAGCTTTTGAGTTTCCTCCACTTACTTGTAGCCAAATTAATCCACTAGGTAACTCAACTCTAGGCATAATGCATGGTGTGTGAAACCCATTAATTACTTTCAGCCTCCCCCCCCCCAAACCCCTTCCTCTAAGTTTACTTTAAAAGCAGCCGGTAGACAATGCAACGTAATTAATTTACCAATTTATTTTATGAAAAGACTCTTTGCCATCGTGAAAATGTAATCATAACCCTGGTGCTGAGGGGGAAGTGAGTGGATTTCTGTGCGAACGGTTTGTCACAATGCAAAAGGTAATTATTTAGTGCTTCTGTTCCCTTTAATGATCTAACATTGAGCAATACTGTTTATATTGAAGAGAGCTTGCACCTTTAATTACCAATTACATATACATAATTTTAGAGCCAAAAGGGAAAGAAAGAAACGGAGGTGAGGGGGGGCGGGATACGAGTGCTGTGAAAAGACTCCTTTAGACAACATATGCACCGTTTCTAGAAAAGAATTCCTATTAGGTGGGAGCAGAGTGTCAAAATATTAAAACACGCATGCACAAAAGGAGAGATAAAGGTAAAAGAACTGGAAGAGGCAAAGTAAGCAGCACAGCTGAACAGAGCCAAGGTATGTAAAGAAACAGAAGCTGTAGCACAGGATCCAAAAACACCTTTTGGCATTTACTATAGCCATCCTGCTCTGCTTCGAAGTTAAGATAGGCTCTTGGAATTAGAGTATTCGGGCTACGCACATTAGGCTGGTGTCGCTGTTGTTGTTTTAAAGTGCGGGGAGTGGGGGGAGAGAGGATCATTTATTATCTTTTTGATAAATGAGATTTTTTTTTCCCGCTCCAGGAAAAGAAGAGAGCAGGAAAACTGCAAGATTTGCTAAGCTTCCCATGACTCTGTCAATGTAGAAATTCCAAAATCTCCTTCAGTTGTCAGCAACTTGAATTGTTCACTTTCCCCCCTTTTCATTTCTCTAACTAATCGTTTAAGCACCCACAGAAGGATTATTATAATAATAAAATAAAATAAAACCTCGCACAGTTCTCCCGTTTTGCAAGATGGTCCGGGAATCGAAAGTTATTAAGCTTGCCATTTCCTACGGTTTATCTGCCCAACTTGGCATCTTGCATTACGATGGTCTCAGTAGCATTTGACCGTAATTAGTTAAGTCCGCATGTGCCCATTCATGAGAAATCTTCTCCTCTCCCTCTGCCCCCACCATCAAAGCAGTCTGCAATAGCTCTTTTTTTAAATAATAATAATAATCTGGTATCCTTTTCATTCTTTGGCAGTCTTAACATTTTAGGAAATCAGCTTTACACTCCCTGAACTAACCCCCCCCCAACCAAAGCCCTCCTGAATGATCATCATCAATTTCAAAGGAATCAAGAAAAGTGTAGTTCTTTTTTTGAAGTTATTTAAATTACAATCGGAATTACAGTAACTCATTTAAGAAGGTCAAGCTTATCAGCTAGATTGTGATATGCTTTATCTGTTAACTGCAACCAATAGCCTGCTTACTCTAGAGCAGGTCTATTAACTTTGACAGGATTGCCCCAGAGTAAACAGAGCCTGGTAGGCTAGAGCTCTCCTCCACTGCTAATTAACCTGCCATAAAAAAATAAAAATATCCAAAAACCTGATCACCTATCCATGGCCAAAGGTGAGGAGAACCTCTGTTTCGTACTTAGGTCTGAACAATGCTCTTTTCTTTCCTTCAAAAATGCTGCCCTCGCTTAGTGATGTTAACACATCCACTGTGGACATGTTAGGGGACATGATCCACAAGATACAGCTCCCAAGACACTGGGATTCACATTCATGGGGCTGGCGCAAGAGCAGAAATTAATAGTTCGTGCCCAAGACCAGCAAAGGTCCAAGCTGAACTCTACATTATGCTCAGGGGCCATAATAACATAAGGCCCCAACTGTTTCAGATTTAAGTCTAGCTTCTCCTCAGCCATGTTCCTGAATTTCAAAGGTTACAGGGGTTTGGAAAACTTTGCTCTCTCCGTCATCTAGTTTGGAAAGGGATGGAGGGAGAAGAATAACTCCAGATTCTCCTTCAAACAAGAAGGGAGGGTTTGAGGCAGCTGATTTCAGCCCCAAAGAAGGAATCAAACATCTGAGCTCGCTCTGCCTGAATGCATCTTCCAAGGGCCGTTCTCCAAAACTGTCCTCAAGGCCTAGGTCCAAGAGTCAGCTCTAGCACACATCAGTCTCAGGTAGTGCGGCCAATGGTCAGGGATGGTGAGTCCAGCAACATCTATCTGGCTGGGCAAAGCTGATTTAATGCTTTGCTTTGGGCATGAGCAAAGAAACCCTCAGCGCTACATGAAAAATCACGTGGATTTCAACTGCTGTGGACATCAAATCAAGCTCCTGAGAACCGATTCACATATTGTTGTTGCCACCCAACCCTACAGTCAAGAGGAAGCTGTAAACTAATCCCAGCTCCTCAACAATAGCATACCTTACAGAATGCACATCACATTCTTATTATCTTTTTAAAATGCAATATGTGAAGTGGTCCCTTTTGAGGTCATGCGTCATTTCAAAATATCCAAATTGTATTCATGTGGCAGAAATGTAAATGAAAGGAGGGGGGTGGAAGAGATGGCTGTACGCTCTCTCCCCTTTTCTAATCTTATCAATCCAGAGCGTAAGCGAGCAAAGATGATTATTTGTTTGTTTTTTAAGGAGGGGAAAGAATAGTGGATTGTATCAGGGGCCAATGTCTCGCTGCTTCCCAAGGTTCTTGCCTACATGCAGGTTCTGCACGACACCAGAAAGATGTTCAAGCCCAGGAGCCTATGGAAATAATGTTGCTGCTGCTGCTGCTATTTATCTGCAGAGGTGCTAGCGGGTGCTACAATTGCCATGGGTACTGTAAGGTTGGTTACCATGTAAATCTCTTCACAAACCCAGATGAGCAGACTGCAGATTAACCAGATCTGACTGCGTTTTGTAATGATGAACTGATGAATCATGCAGCACTTGCCAGCTGCACCCCTCTACAGGGAAATCCTAACTTCAAAGAGTCTCCCCGCTTCTGCCCCCCGTGAGGATCTTCCAGCACTCCCAAGATCTGGGCGCAG